AACAGAAGATCCTCTCAGATAAATAAGGAATTATGGTCTATGGCGGAAAATATTTTTTATTTTGTGCTAACCACAGTTATTTGGTATTGACTGTTGCTTGCTATTAATGATGTTAGCAAACATTTACAAAAGATACAAACAGATCTAAGTTTGCCTACTTCACTTTTTGAATAATTTAAAATACTTAAAAACTTTTTAGGGAAAATGATTTTCCTAAATAGAAAGATACTAAATGTGACACATACAACAAAAGTGATAATCCAGTAAAATAAAAGAAAATTGCAACACGGAAATAAAAATGTTTGCATGATTATGAAGACATTCAAATTCAAATATATATCTATATAATAATCACATGTATAAATATATATAAATTTATATGTGTGTGTATATACACGCATATATATACTACTTCCTAAACATTCTAAGTGAGGTATAGTCTCCTATGAAGAGAGATTTGAACAAATTGAACCACATATTTTTCTTTTTGTTTTTTTAATTATATCCCAACATTTAAAAATTTGGAAGAGGAACTTAGCACTTTATGGATATAGATATTGCTTAAAGGCTGGTGAAAAAAATCATGTGATAGGATTTATATGATAAAATTAAAAATTTCTATTATCTTCTGTAATAATGATTATCATTGCAACCGCATTGAAATGTTTGAACGTAATATGTAAAATTCATGGTTCATTTCCAAATATAAATATTGATTTAGAAATTTTATTGACAACTTCAGTTGCTACTGCCTCAGCAGAATAAAATTTCTCCAATTCTACTGAACCAAATTTTAAAAACATCTACTATTGAGGAACTATTTTTTCACGTGAAAATAGTATTAAGGTTAATTTTTAAGATGTCTTCTTCTTTTTTTTTTTTTTTTTTTTTTGGTTCGGGGGCCTCTTCCTTCTGTGGTTTTTCCCGTTGCGGAGCTCCGGACGCGCAGGCCCAGTAGCCATGGCTTACGGGCCCAGCCGCTCCGCGGCATGTGGGACCCTCCCGGATCGGGGCACGAACCCGTCAGGTCCCCTGAATCGGCAGGCGGACTCCCAACCACTGCGCCACCAGGGAAGCCCAAGATGTCCTCTTTTCTAAAGATACATATTGATGCATTCATGAATAAAGTGATATGTCTAGGATTTGCTTCAATATAATTGGATAGAGTTGGGGAGTATAGATAAACAGTGACCAAGAGTTAATACTTGTTGAAGCTGGATGATAGGTACATGGAATTCTTTATATTTGCATTTGTAAACATTTGGGTTTTTCCATGATAAAAATTTAAACAAAAAACTAAATACATTGATTCAAGAGAAGTTGTCTATTTTGCTATTAGTGTCAACAGAATTCAAATTAAATATATTATAACATTATAATTAATGATTTTCCTGAAAAAAAATAAAATATATAGAATAAGTGTATGATAATTTATACTTATGTACCTCTTTATCTTATACCTCATCCAAACATCACCAGTCCATCAATAGAACATGCAAATACACAATATTAAGTCCAGTCATTTTTGCTGTTTAACTTTCAGTCATATAAAACACATTGCTTTATACATTAAAAAAAAATTTTGTCAAGGAAAGTGGATAGAACACATTTATTAAATTATTTAATTTATTTATTTTTAGCTTGATTTATAATTTTTAATGATTTAGACCTATTGTATGTAGCCCTCTACTTGTACTCCTGGGTACTAGAAATGTTAGGGACAAGAATGTTCTCAAAATTTCCATTTTATTCTTAATTTTAACAACTAAGTGTTTAGATGGGGATAACTGGAATACTGCTTTGATTCAACTTGTAATTGTCTTTCCCCATATATTTTAGGAAAACATTGTATAATTATGCTGGACATCACAAATGGAGCTCAAATATCTCAGAACATTTTACCCAAATCAGGAACCACGTGCATTCATGATTGTATTGACACTCTTCCCCTCTCCACAGACCAGTGACCAAAACAGCCATCATCTCTTTAGCAAGAATAGACGAGATCAAGTTACAATCTTTTCAGGGAAAACCTTAGGGGTGGTTGGAGATAATTGGTCATCCATATCAAGTTTATTCTGTATAGAGTTCTGTTTATAATCCTAGTTATTTGTTCAATACAAATATTAGGCTTTAGGACAACTTGTGTAGAAAGAAAGTTTAAGATCCTCTATCTTTTATATGATGGAGATATTTAGCTTCCTATTTCCTTTACATCCAATCCCCAAACTAGAAAATATAAAAAGGTGAGGGGATAACTATCTGGTCGAGAGTTAGTCCATATAACCAACTAACAATTAGTTTGTTTTGTCTAAACTATTCATATATTCCTACCCCAAAGCCCTTCATCTGTTTGAATTAACTGTGTGATAGCTCAAATCTCCACATGTAGCAATATTTTCAGACTCTTGAAAAAACTTCTTTCCAGTAAGGTACATTCATACTACATCTCTCCAATTCTAAGACATTTTTGATTTAGGATTGACCAAAAATGTAGTAAGCACTTTTTTAGGGGAAAAAGAAAAAAGACTGTAAAATTAATTCAAATTTCAGAAACATTGAAATGGGTGTGTGGGGGGGGGTTGGTGAGGAGTATGTCTTGGAATTGAGAAAACACTTAACTAGGATTTTCTGAAAGAGCACTTTAGAATTAAGAAAGTTATTACAATTCTCATGGGAGGCTGTGGGGGGTGACAGGAGCCAGAGAAAGGTGTACATGTAGGTCATTATGTAGAAACAGCATGGTGGCCCCAGCTCCGGTCATAAAGGCATAGCATGAGAGGATGAGGACCTAACAGGAAGGACACCAAGAGTGGGGAGAAAGGGGCTTGAGAGCAGTCATCAAGGGTCAGGCAGGGGTTGGCCTTAAAGACACATTACAGGGCTTCCCTGGTGGCGCAGTGGTTGAGAGTCCGCCTGCCGATGCAGGGGACACGGGTTTGTGCCCCGGTCCAGGAAGATCCCACATGCCGCGGAGCGGCTGGGCCCGTGAGCCATGGCCGTTGAGCCTGTGCGTCCGGAACCTGTGCTCCGCAATGGGAGAGGCCCCAACAGTGAGAGGCCCGCATACCTCACACACACACACACACACACACACACACACACACACACACACACACACACACAAAAAGACACATTACATCAGGAAATTTACGGCTGGCTCTGCTTCCAAATAATCATAAAAAAACAGAAAACTACAGAAAGTGATTAAGGTGAGCCTCACTTCTGTAACTTCCTTCCCTTAGCTTATTATCAAAACTTAACCACCAGGCAATGCAGGGCCTTTCAGTTAGCCTTCTTGAGAAACAGTGCTGAGTATTCTATCTCCTAGAACATTTAAAATTATATTTAATCTCATTTTAGTGGAATATTAAAATATTGTTAATTCTATGTGCTAAGAAATGCAAAATGTTTTGAGACTAAATACCAGTGGGTATAGTCATTAGGTGTTATTGCATTTACCCAGTAATTGGCTCCTTTCCTATAATAGATGAATCTCTGTTTCAGAATGAAAAAATAAACAGAAAACAAATTCCCTACATAAAGGTCATATGAGCTCTTTGTAACCAGGAATGAGGTATTACAGTACATTTACTGAGCACCTGGTATTTAGTCCAGGTGGATTGCTTCACTCTGTAAATGCCAATAACTAGTGTTTGTAAGTCTGAACTAATATAATGGTCACTTTCATGTAATAATCGCATCCTGATTCTCTAACTGGAAAAACCAACATAAAAATCATGAATACTCTGTGACTAAATAGGGAAAATAAATATTCTTTAACAGTTTGGGAATAGGAACAGTGTTTGAAAATGGAGACTAGAAAAGGAAAAGAGGCATTCTGGACCTTCTTGGCAGTTTTGAATCTGTCTTCAGCACTTCCAAAATCTAAGAGACCCAGACTGCTACAAAACATCTTTAACATCTGTCTTCCTCATTCCCACCTCCTTTCTAGGTAGAGAACATTTTGGTTTTTATGTGTTGTTCTATTTCTTAAGCCCCGGGTAGGAGGATGTCAGATGGTAAACAAAGGAATTGCCCCCTTCATTCATTGAGCTCCTACTATGTGTCAGGCACTGTTCTGGGTGTCATGGAACCAAAGGTAACTAAGGTAAAGTTCCTGCTCTTCAGAAGCTTTCATGTGATGGGGGGACAGCAATTAGGGATTGAGACCAGACAAGGAAACAAATCAGTAGGCTACTTGGTACTGATTATGGGTATTGTTGGATACCAAACAGGATTATTTAAATCAGCCTGTGGTGTGTGTCTTGGGGGTGGGAGGTAGGACAGCAGTGGTGTACTAGAATGTAAAGTCTCGACCAAAGAGCAGGAATTAGCCAGATGAAGTGCAGCAAAGGAATACGGAAGAACCTTCTTGGCAGAAGGCACAGAAGTAAAATTGGCAGAAATTGGCAAGTCATTAGATGGGGACTGGATCAAAAAGAGAAAGAAGAATCTCATAGACGGGCAGGTAGAAGCCGCAAAGGTGTAGGCAGAGCAGTCAAAATCAAGTTTCCATCAGATTTTTCTTCTGTCAACTCTGCTTTGGGTAATGCCCCCTCCCCTTGTTAATTGGTCCCCTTTGTCCTGACCCAGGTCATGGCTTCTAACCTGGCTCCAATAATTAACCTCGCCCTTCTGGGTTTGACACTTTGGCAAGTCACCATCTTTTTAGCTCCCTCCTGCTTTCTTTCCCTGACGTTCATTCCTGTTAAACCCTTTCATTCAGTGCATTTTGCTGCTTGTTTGCTAGTGTTCCAGATGCCTAACACCCAGTTAAATTAAACTTAGTTTTATATGTATTGATTTTCCTTTGCTAGAAAGAATACACTTACTCAAAATAAGAGCTCTCTTAGTTTTTGTTTTTGTAATGATTTTTAAAGAAATAGCCAAGAGCCAAGGGCTATGAGCCAAGAAAGCCAATAATGATAATAGCTACGAAAGTGGACTTTTGTTGGTTGCCTGCTCAGTGTCTTACCCCTGCTTTTTTTCCTCCACAGTACCTTGATCTTCATTTGAGGAATCCACCCCTCCCCATGCAGCCCAGGTGCTTCCAGAGAAGCTGACCTACTCCCTGGTTAGTTCAAGCCAACCACCACATTCCATCTTCCCACGCACATCTTTCAGATTTAAACAAGTGAATATCAGGATACTTGCTGGACTGATGGATATCATTCTCTCTAGATGTGGATGAGGGAACATGTACGTTGGGGGTCTGTTTGCAGCCATCTTGTGATCATGAGAGTTGCTGGCTTTAGGATAAAGCTGTCACTATGGAAGACAGAGAAAGATGGAAAGATGGAAAGAATCTGAGCCCTTAGTGATACAGCTGAGCCTGTAGTGACTGAAGACCTAGGGAAATGGTCCTGAATGACAAACTAACCCAAAAGCCTGCCTTACCTCTGGACTTTCAGTTTCATGAATCAGTACATTCCTTTATTGTTTAAAACAGTTTGAGTTGTGCTTTTTTGTTACTTGCAACGTAAAATATCCTATGCTGTACAGCTGTTACTGGTTGAGAGCCCACTATGTGCCAGGCATTGTAATGGAGGTTCCACAGAGACTAATACTCACAACCATGTTTTTTTCTTTTTTAAAAATTGTGGTAAAATATACATAACATGAAATATCACATTTTAACCATTGTTAACTGCGCAATTCAGTGACATAATGTTGTGCAACCATCTCCACTATCTACTTCCAATCACAACCATAGTTTAAGGTGGGCATTGATATCCTCATTTTACCAAAAAGGAAACTGATCCTCAGAGAGGTGCATTACCCAAAGCAGACCACCAGTTACTGGTATAGTCAAGATTTAAACCCACGTCTGCTGGACTGCAAAGTTCATGTTTTTTCCTACTTCATTACAGTGCCAAAATAAATGATCAAGCAAGGAAACAGGAAATCTTGGTCAAATTTCCGGCCCAGGGTCCACAACATAGAGATTAGGACCTTGGGAGAAGCAGATCCAGCAAACAGGAAACAAGGTAAGGAACAAAAAGAGATCAGAATCCAAGTCATCAAAGGTACGACACTAGAGGTTGGAGTCAAAGGGAATAGGGGAAAACATTTATGTTCAAGAAGTAGCGTTTGAAAAGGGGCTTATCAGTGGAGACTTCAAGAATATCTGGTTGTATTTGTTCACCCTAACCTGGTTTGTAGGTGAGCAATCGTTGCCCTGCCTACTTCCCAAAAGGATTCTGACCTTTAATGAATATAACGAACTATATTTTAAAACAGAAATACCCTCAATTTTATGTTAAGCATTCGTTAAAATAAGTCACGTAATAAAGATGATCTGTGTCACAAGCCTGGCCCTTTAAATGAGTTCTGAAATGACTGGAGAGCTCTATTACCTTCTTGTTAGGACAAGATGGATTGCAAGTAGTGTTCCCCAGCCCCCCACACCCCCAAATTACAAGCTTCTATGCTAAAAGCTATCCACCTTTGATGAGTATCTCTTAATTGTTTACCTTTTAACTAAGGGTTTTTAACTAGGGCTATTAGAACTCTAGAGGGTGTTTAATCTGTTGATCTGTTTGTTTTCAAGTCTGACTCCTTTCATTTGTGATCCTAGGTAAGTAGTAGCTTGGAGGGTTTTACTTACACAAAAAGATCAGTTCACTAATTTTCAATTTCCGTAAGTGTAAATTTCTAGTGTCAGAGGCTGTCTTGAAATGGGAGAGGGGAAGTTATGAGAATGGATTGGGTAAGACTCCCCAATGTTTTCATATCCCCAAACCTTGACCTCCACACCAACGCCCCTTCTCCAGCTGTATAGTAAACAAAAACACTAACATTTTCTCAACAGTTATTTTATAAATAAATCTAAGTGCTGACCTTAATTATTCACTAAATAGAAATGACAGTGGCAGGAGCCTCATAGAGCCAATGTCATTTGACATTGTTGACACATGTATGAGGCTTATCACCCTTTTCTCTCTAGAGCAGCATTTGGAGAGTGAATGTCCATCATCTGTGTGGATAATCTGTTTGGCAATATAGCTTTTTTGGAAAATAAAACAGAAAACTGAATTTTTTTTCTCCTTTAGAAGAAAAGTTTGCTTTTTGCATTTTTTTCTAGTACTTTACTTCTTTAGAGCAGTTTTGGATTCACAGCAAAATTGAACAAAAAGTATAGATAGTTCCCATTACCCCGTCACCACACGTGCATAGCCTCCCCCATTATTAACATTCCCCATCAGAGTGATACATTTGTTACAAGTGATGAACCTACATTGACACATCATTATCACCCAAAGTCCATAATTTACATTAGGGTTCACTCTTGGTATTGCACATTCTATGTGTTTGGACAAATATATAATGACGTGAATCCACCATCATAGTATCATACAGAGTAGTTTCACTGCCCTAAAAATCATATGTGCTCTGCCCATTCATCCCTCCCTCCACCCTAACTCCTGGCAACCATTAATCTTCTTGCCATCTCCATAGTTTTAACTTTTTCAGAATGTCATAAAGTTGGAATCACACAGTGTGTAGTCTTTTCATATTGGCTTTTTTTTTTCTTTTTGGCTGCACCGCGCAGCATGTGGGATCTTAGTTCCCTGACGAGGGATTGAACCCATGCCCCCTGCATTGGAAGCACGGAGTCTTAACCACTGGACCACCAGGGAAGTCCCCATATTGGCTTCTTTCACTGACTAATGTACATTTAAAGTTCTTCTATGTCTTTTCACAGCTTGATAGATCATTTCTTTTTAGTGCTGAATAATATTCCATTACCTGGATATACCACGTATTTATGCATTCACCTACTGAAGGATATCTTGATTGCTTCCAAGTTTTGTCAATTATGGGTAAAGCTGCTATAAACATCTGTGTGCAGGTTTTTGTGTGGACATAAGTTTTCAATTCCCTTGGGTAAATACCAAGGAGTGTGATTGCTGGATCATATATATGGTAAGAGTATAGTTAGTTTTGTAAAAAACTGCGAAACTGTCTTTCAAAGAAGCTGTACCATTTTGCGTTCCCACCAGCAATGAATAAAAATTCCTTTTGCTCCACATCCTCACCAGCATTTGGTGCTGACAGTGTTCTGCATTTTGGCCATTCTCATAGGTATGTAGTGGGTCTACTTATCTTTGCAGTTTTTACCCTTGTCCACCTCTCCACCCTCATCATTCCTTACAATAGCTTATCTTTTTCAGAAAGACCCATGGAATTTGAGAGCTGGGCTGTAGGTGGCACAAACTAAGCAACACTAGACACATGATAGAGGGAAAGACTGAGAAAGGACTGGCTCAAGTCATGTGGGAGACCTGGGAAAAGGAACAAGGTGGCACCCCCTCAAGCTAATATTCTTTAAATAGCTGAGGGCAGAAAAAAATTCATTTTCTATTAATATAAAATGTATAGCTCGTTATGGTTAAAATAATTTATTACATGCATTGAATATAACAATATTTCCACTTATTTGGAATTGTCTTTCATTTTACATCACCTGGAACTTGAATAGCAATATTACTACTCATCAAGCATAGAGGTAAATTACAGCCACAAAGTCTTACTCAAAATATACTGAATATTACAAGTTCTTTTGTTTTTGTTTTTTCTAGTTTATATATCACAAAAACAGTTCTAACTTTTCTGAAGTTCTTATTCTTTCTTCATTTTTCTTTTGGGAATTTCTGAGCTAGACAACCTCTTGTAAGACACGTCCATGGCTTTAAAATGTAGAAAATAACCATCTGTCCCCAAAAATTGTGTTAGAAATTTGGAGTAGAATACCAAACTCAAATCCTACCCCCACCTCTTCTTCTGGCTGGCTTACCTGAGGGAGTATGCACACCTGTACTATGTCCCAATGAGAACCCCAGAACCATCTTATTAGTAAGCAGGAAGTACACAACTTAAAGTGAAGCTTGAGTCAAGGCTGGGTGGAGGCCAAGATATCTAAGTGAGGCCTCTTGCTTTTCCAATCCCAAATCTAAGTCCTGTGACCTCCTCAAGTGCCAGAAGAGTAAGAGTAAGGATAAGAATAAGACTCAGGTTCTTAGGTATTAATAGCTGAGCTTAAGTCCACCTACCCGACCAGGTGCCAGGATGAGATTGGACTGCCAGACCCATGAACTTAGGAATCAAGAGGGAAAAAGAGGAAGTTTAAGCCTCCTTAGCAGAGTAGTCCACCCTCACTCCTTTACCCCCACCCCGCCTCTTGATTTGCCTACTACATGGAGAAAATATATGCAAAACAGCCTGCTGCTCCTGGAGTAGGAAATGAAATAGCAGGCATTAGGATCCATACGAAAGGAAAGTGTCTTTCAGTGTCACGATCCCTCCCTCTAGGGAAGTGTCCCCAGAGTCTCTGAGCAGACTAGTCACTTCTTCCATATGGAACATCTAATAAGAGGGTAGATAGAGGCAGAAGCTTAGATGGAAGTTTCCTCCTTCATGAGCTCTGGCAGAAATGCAATGAGACATGCTACACAACACCCCGCATAACCCATTATTTATTCTCTCCTTAACAAAGGGCCTTAATAATCAAACCGCAGTTCAGCCAGGATTGTCCAACTAGGAGAGATTAGCAGCTCCTTCATTTACTACCACTGCTCCTCACTGTAACTTCCTGGGACCAATGAGATGCACAGCTAAGTTAGTTCTCCAAAGAGTTTCTGTAATGGGTCATAACAGGTCATTAATCAATTTAGCTTCAGGGCTGTCCTGTACCCTAGGCTAAATATTCACTCCCAGCCTTTCTCACCTTCTGAGATGGCCCACACTCTCTGTAGAGTGTGTTTCTCTCTAAATAAATCCACTTCTTACCTATCAAAAAAAAAATTCACTCCCTAGTTTATTTCCCATCTGAAATTATGCCTAATAATATTGTCCAAAACTGCTCAACAGAGAAGATACTTTTAAACGTCCAAATAAAACAACAAAGAATGGTTGAAAATGGAATAATGTGAAGCCCTCCCCATTATTAAATTACCACAGAAAGTCAAGCCCAAAATGAATTCTTCTTCCTAGTGTAAATTAAACTCCAAAGACCGTAAAGTGCAATTACTCTTCTCCCTAGTTTCCTGATCTTTTCAGCCTCTGTCAGAAGATTCTCGCTCAAATGCCTTGGGGTTTGGACTCCCTCAGCAGCCACTGCACTCTGAGCCTTCTTCCATTACCATGGGTGTAGCACCTTCAGTACCATCAAAATTGAAGTAATCCACCCGAATATCTTGTGTCCCATAAATGTAAACGCAAATGTGACTCCTGCAGTAACAGCATTTTGCAAACAAAATGATATTCCTAGAACCCAGTGTACGGACCCTCGTTGCTGTTGCTTGTTAGAGATTGCAGCAGACTTAGTGTTATCTGGGAGAAGGGGAGTAACGCACAGGGAACAAAAAATGGAGAACATCATTTTGGTTTTCGCCACGCCAAGATGCCTATTAGAACACGTCAGTTTTCCAACTACTATATGTGAATTTAAATTCAGATGGGATAAATTTCCCATCAAGAGGTTAACTGTGACATAGGACATAGCTGCTTTTAATAAGGACAGGGTTGACTTTCTACATAACATCTTCCTCCTTCTCCCAAAAAGGGACCCACATCTCCTCTGTCCAGCTGACCACATCTGAAGCTTCAGGGGCAATTCTTATTGGCCTAAGAGTAATCCCCTCATGCTTGCCAGAGATTAACTCAAGAATGGGCATAAGGGCCCAACTGGGTACAGAGACATGGGGAGGTTTACAGTGGTAGCATCTTCAGTGTCTACTAGATCACACCCAAATCTTCTTTCTTTCTCTTGATATCCTTCCCATGTTTTGAACACTTTTGTTTCCATTTCCCTTTTGAATCTGGTGTTTCTGGCCTGGAAGCCCAGTGTTAAATTGAGCCTGGTCTCTGTTGAGTGACACCACTTCCTTTTCCATAGTGAATGCAGCATGGCACATTTGATAATAGGCATCCCTGCAGTCCATGCTTATCTGATCTTCTCAGGGTATTTGTCCATCTCCAGTAGGACCCCAAGTCTTTTTAAACTTTATGACACAGCTGCTGCCACTGTATCCTGTTCTAGAACCCCTTAGGTGTATTAACCTTGCTTCCAAGATCCTCTTTCCTGAAATGTATCTTAGCTGGATTATCATTCAACAAATTCCTGAATCTGAAGCTTCTATTGATGCCTGCATAGGCCATAATCTCAGGATCATAGAGGGTCTAATATATCCTCTGACATGTGCTCCTCTAAAGCCCTCTTCCTTTACCTTTCAAATTCTCTAGTCCTTGAGTGACTTGTGCCATTTCATGTATTACTTTCTGCCATTTCTTTTTCCACTTCTGTTCCATTTCTTTCTATAATTCCTACTCCTTTCATGGAGGCCTGAGTTGCTGGGTTTGTTCTTTTTTTTTTTAATATTTATTTGTTTATTTGGCTGCGTTGGGTCTTAGTTGCGGCACTTAGTTGCGGCACTTAGTTGCGGATCTTCATTGCAGCACGCGGGATCTTTCATTGCCTCGTGCAGGCTTCTCTCTAGTTGTGGCGTGTGGGCTCCAGGGATCGAACCCGTGTCTCCTGTATTGGAAGATGGATTCTTAACCACTGCACCACCAGAGAAGTCCTGAGGCCTGAGTTTTTAAATTTTAACATACTACTTAAATGGGCCCAGTTCTTTCAATAACACAGATAAACCTCCAGCTGCATTCTTTTATCTTCGCTTCCTTCCCTCCTCCCTCCCTCCCTCCCTTCCTTCCTTTCTTTCTCTTTCTAGGCCCATGCATTTGCTTCCTGACATACTCCATAGACTCTCTCTTGAGAGGCTCCCATAGTGAAAAAATGTCAGAATATTCTGCATCTACCACAAGATCCTCAGTTCAAATATTGCTTGAGTGGAGACAATCCTGCATAGGTCTTCTCCCATCAGTTTCCACCCATGCCTGATCTCTACCTATTGTTGCTCTGCCTGACTCTTTCTTTTTGGTGTTGTCTTCCCTGTACCTTTAAAATATTTTTCTAATATCATTCATTTTCTAGACATACTTTCTTATAACAAGAGCCATACCTACTTCCCTACATATAATGTCTGTGTAATCTTGAAAATCATCAAGTAGGGCCTGAAATAACATCAATACCAACAGCAATGACAATAACAGCTAATAGTTTACTGAGCTCCTACTACACACCAAGCACTGTTCTAAGCATCTTATAATCCTCACAATTCCATGAAATGACGACTATTATCACACCCATTTTACAGATGTAGAAACTGAAGCACAGAGAGGTTAAGTAATTTGCCCAAGATCACACAGCCAGTAAGTGGCAGAGCCCCGTCACGGTCTTTCACTCATATCTGCCCACCCTTCAGTCACTTACCAGTCCTTTCATAATACAACACCCTTTTATTGTTTGGCCTAGTCATCTCTCAATGCTTCGAAATTGGGTTCTCCTTTTAAAAAGCAAAAATAAAGATTTACAACAGTCTATCACAGCCCATCCTAAATCTTGAACATAATTAATTTCTTTTAATAGGGCTACGTCTCTATTATTCCACAGGGAAAGGTATTAAAGTTAGATTCTATAATTTTTTTTAAAGATAACCTCTATAATGAGGATCATTTGATTGCATGCTTACCAGGTTTTCCCACATATACATTACATTTAAATCCTTAGTTCCAAGTTAATTTTCACTTCCTGATAAAATATTATCTGAGCATGTACTAAAGAATGAATTTTTGCAGCTTAGTGAGATAAGTCATTCATACTCTAACAAGGATATTTTAAACAGCTGGTTATTCCTCCAGGAAAACGGTATTCAGATCAGACTAATTTCCTAAATGACATAAAAGGAGTGAGCAGTTTTCAGGTGTCTTATGTAACTGAGTGCTGATGGCTTAGGACTAGATGACGGAATGATAGAGAAAGGGGAAGCTGAATCTTTGAAATGGTAAAAATTATCATTTAAAAATCACAGTAAATATCACCTGCCAGGTATTAAAATGATGAAAGGGCTTATTTTTTCCACACTCCTATTGTGATAGGTTTTATAAACAAATAATTTTAAGTACACTAACCTGTTAGGCACCAGTAATTAATTGAGAAAAAACAAACACAAATATTCTTGAAGAGAGAGCAAACCCTGAGGGAGTTTAGTCCTCTGAAATTATGCTAAGTGTATATTGAAATCATTCTGGAAGCCTCCTACCCCAAATAAAAATCCCCTTTTTCTCTCTCACACATAACTTCTGTGGCAGCTGACTGACAGGATTATCTGCTAACACAGGTGGACCTGGCGATGGCTAAAACCATCCGGAATATTTTAGGTTTTCACTGGAAGAATTAAGAGTCTATAATATCTGTGAATGGAAAGGGCACTAAGTCTAGTGCAGATATTAACTTTGCCACCAAGTAGTTATGGGATTTTGTTCTGTCACCTCATTTCTTTGAATTTGTTTCCCAATCTATCAAATACAAAAATGAGAATTAAATGATCTCCAAGGCCCGTTCTAACAACTCCCAAGTTCCACAATTTTAAGATGGTTTTGAACACTTCTTCACAAAGAAGTCTCTAACATTTAATCCTGTAAGATAAACTAAAAATATGTAGGAACCAGTGATATGGGGATAGGATATTTAATATCTCCCAATAGATACTCCACTATTGTTAAACTACCTTCTCTGTTGCACTCCATCAGCTATCACAGCTCTGAAAAAGGGAGCAGAGCAGATGCCATCACAAGAATGAAGAGGATATGGTACATAAGGAAAGCTCTTGTCATACAAGAAGAATAAAAATCCACCTCTTTTTTAAAACGTTTTTATTGAAATATAGTTGATTTACAATGTTGGGTTAGAAAAATCCATCTCTTGCAGCCCTAAAAAATGATGGAAAAAAGGACAGAAAAAGGTAATCAGATCCGGTGTGCTTACTTCCTGTCCCTTCTCAGCATGAAAACTAGAATTGGAGGTATATAGTTGACGTATTCACATATTATAGACATAGGGTAATTCAAGAAAAATGGGGATAGTGGTTTGCTTCTCTGGGCATGCCTGTGAGAGGCTGAGTCTTCCAGGAACTCTGCTTTCAGCTTATGGGATGTTCAACATGACATAGGGAGAATAATGCAACATTGGTGGAGGGAGGTGGCTCAACAGATGAGCCTGAAGCAAAGCTCCTGGCTCACCAAGGCCTACGTGGGATATTCTGGGAATCCAGAAGTTCCCATATGTCTCAGTGAGAAGATGGAATACCATCATGAGGATCAATGGACCTGCAGAGGCCTGGGGTCAGTACAGAGGTTGCAGTGTATAAGGCAGTGTGGACTTCAGTAAAGAAAGCAGCACAACTTCTCAAAAGGACAAAATGAGCAGTTTTATCTCTGAGGCTAACAGTTCTGCTTTCAGAGTATACCAGACACTCCATACCAAAGGAAAACACAAGGACTGGCATGCATGGGCCAGGGCCTTTCCCTGAGGTCATGTCAGCTTTCCCATCGCTCAGGCTTCTACCAGCCCACTAGTTACTGTGTGAATTAGAAAAAGGCACTCCCTTTATCCTGACACTTTACTTCCACCTATCAGAAAATTATCATAATATACTGGTTTTGTTAAAATAAGGCATCCTACTGCCACATGCCTGAGAACTGTCGTAATAAACTTAGAAATCTAGGATGCCAAAGACGTGAAAGACACTCCATCTATGTATACCTTATACAGCATCCCTCGACTCCCATATATATCTTGGAATGGGAGGGAGGTGGGGAAATAAAATCTGTAAGATTCAGCATCTACCTATAAAAGAAAACAGATAATGTGGGGACTCAAGACGGATAAAAATTACAGAAAATAAGCTATGTTTTCTTTGTACATCTGAATTAACTAAATCAACTCTGCCATACCAAAATACAAGCCCCAAATTTTGCATTTTATTTTACTTTTTGCTATCTCCCATAGCACCTTACATAGCAATGGATACACATAAGGAACTACTAAATTCTTTCTGGAAAAAAAGTAAATTTTTAGAAAAAATCAGAATTATGGATCCACTTATAATATGTATGATAGCATGTAATTTTCCTTTCCTCCCCTACAGTTATTTGAAACAAATCTAAATTTTACCCATTTGCACCTTGCTAACAACCATAAAAATCTGCAGTTCTTCAGTTGTTTTCTAAGTCTCCCTCCTCAAACTTTTTCTTGAGAAGGAAACTTAGATCTAAGTTTCTCCATTTTCAGGACCAAAGAGAGCTCATCTCAAAATTACAGAATTAAAAAAAATTGAAAACAGGATTGCGTAATCCAAAGTAAATTCTTATTAAAAGGTGAGGGGACCCTGATACCTAGAAAGGTAAAGTATTTTGCCTAGAGGCACATATCAAACCCGGAACTCAAATACCCTACACAATAATACTGGCTCTCCCTGCCCCTCTCCCCACTCCCAAAATACACACTTTCCCCCCTCACCCTTACTTCCCTTATTGTACTTTGTAACCACTTAGCCATCCATCTCAAACCTAAGACAGCAACTGATCAAACTCAAACGAGAAAGAAATCACCCAAAGGTCGAAAATCAGAGAATCATTAAACTGCCGGTTTTATCATTTCCATAAAGTGATAAACAAAAGAGAGCGGAGAGAATTAAGAAAGGATACTTTTTCAGTCATCTCAACAGCATCTAGGGAATAAAAACACGTTTTCCTTGGGGAGAGATTATGCTGAGGGGACCAGATACAGATACAAAAGGTAATTCCCCTTGGGGTTTCTTCTTTTTCTGAGTTTGTGAGATCTAAAAAAAAAAAGAAAAAAGAAAACTAAACACAACCTCAACACATTTACTTCTCTCCTTTTCTCACATATTATTTTCCCAAACATTATACAGACCACGTCTCCAAAGTAAATTGACCAAAGGTCTATTGCCTATTGACCAAAACGTTTTCAAGATTTAGGTGACTCCTCTTAGACTACGATTAGGAACCGACTCCAAACTTCGGTTACCAAGCTCCAAGCTCGGTAAAGTGGATCTCCAAGGTTTGCAAATACCCTCAGCTTGACTAAAGGGCACAGAATCTCTAGCGCTCCCTACAGCTCAGACTTTGGACCTACCTACCACAAAAAACCCAAGTTACAAAGATTGGCTACCTCGCTCTACTTTTTTCCGCTTTAAAAAATCGAGCGGGGGGCGGGGGGGGCCGAGGTTGAAACGGCGAACCGAAGGATTAATCACTTCTCCCCATTACATCAGCAGCCCCCGCCCTTTCCTCTGAGCACCTCCTCTCCCAGAATCGTCGCTACGCACTAGCGCTCTCTTCACCCAACCCCCGCTCTATTATATGCCCTGATACCTCCCCATTATCACCCGCCCCACCACACTCCCCCTCTCCTCCTTCCCCCCTCCTTGGCTGGGGAGGGAGGAAACCCGAGAGAGGAAACAGGGCGTTGAAGGAAGGGACTTGGCGATAAGAGCAGAGGCCCCATTGGCCCGAAGGTTGTATAAAAGCCTTCCATTGGCTGCTTTGCCGGAATCCCCGCCCCTCGACTTCCCCGCCCATTCGCCCCTCCCCCGACGCCCCGCGGCCCTCCCCCGCGCCCCTAGCCAGCCCCGCGGCGGGGAGGGACCGACTGGGCGAGTGGCGGCTCCGGCGGTGTCAATGGCTCCTCCTGCCACGGAGCAGCAGCAGAAGCAGCGGCGACGGGGCTGAGGAGGAGAAGGAAAGGCTCCTTTAAGGAGGAGTTACGACGACGCCTCTTTTTCCCCCTATCTCCTCCCTTCACACTCATTTCCCCTTCGCCGAGGAGAGAAGGGGGGGAGGAGAGAGAAGAGGCCGAAGAAAGAGAGAAAAAATTCCTCTCAGAAATCTCTTTCAGGGGGTGTGGGGGGGAGGAAGAGGAAAAAAAAAAAAGAGCCGGGCGCCCCCTGCTCCCTCCCTCCCTTCTCTCCCTCTCTTCTCCTCCTTCTCCCTTCCTCACCCGCCCGCCCACTCCCCCCGCCGCCGGAGACGCCGCTCGGGAGTCGGCGGGACCGGGGTCTGTCTCCTCAGCCGCCGACGCCGCGCTTCGCCTCGGGATCCCCAGGCGGGCGGACGCCCTTTCTTTCTTTCTCTCGCTCTGCCCGTCTTTCTGTCTCCGTCCCTCGCCGCCGCCCCGCCCGGCGGCCTCGGCCTTCCCCGTGCGTCAGGCCCGCCCGCCGGGCCTCGCTCGGTCTCTGTCTGTCTCCGCGGGCCTTTCTCTTGACTCGGGGTCTCGCTCGCTCCTCCGCCCTTACCATCTCCCCTTCCTCTCACCCCTTTTCCTTCCTCCCCCCTCTCCCCACCCCCTTCTCCTGCTCCGGAGCTCGCGGTGCGTGTGCGTGTGTGTGTCCCTCCGCCGACGCCGCCACCTCAGCCCGGCAAATGAACTCCGTCCGAGCCGCCAACCGGAGACCCAGGCGAGTGTCGCGGCCGCGCCCGGTGCAGCAACAGCAGCAGCAGCAGCAACCCCCGCAGCAGCCGCCGCCGCAGCCGCCCCAGCAGCAGCCGCCGCAGCAGCAGCCTCCGCCGCCGCCGCAGCAACAGCAGCAGCAGCAGCCTCCGCCGCCGCCACCGCCGCCTCCGCCGCTGCCCCAGGAGCGGAACAACGCCGGCGAGCGGGGTAAGGCCGCGCTCCCTCCCCGCCGCCCGCCGGGTCGGACGCCCGGCTGACCGGGACCCGCGGGAAGGGAAGCCGGGGCGGGGGCGGCCTGTGCGCCCGGGGGTGGGAGACGGAGGTTGAGTGGAGGCGGGTCCCCCGGTGCCGCAGTGTCAGCCCGGCTTGGGCCCCGGCCGGCAGGAAAAGCCGCGGCTTCCCGACTCGCCCGGGCTCTAGCTCAGGCCGCGCTTTGTTTGGTTTCGGGGGCTTGGCACCCTCTCCCCCCACCCATCCTTCTGGCTTCTCGGCTCGCTCACGGACCCCGCAGGAGTCTGTTGGTGGGTGGGGGAAGAGCGAAGGGTGGGATTTCCCCCTTCTCGGCAGTCTTCCACGGTTTGGTCTCCCGTTTCTAATAGGAGGTGGGGGGGAGCGGCTGGGAGTGATCGGGTGGTTGGGGCTGGCTGGGGAACTTGTTTTTCCCCCTTTTCTCTGTTAGCCTCCCCCTTCCTGTGGAGGAGGGGAGAGGGGGACTCGGAGTGGTCGGTGGTGTTGGCCGGGGAACTTGTTTCCCCCCGCCCCCCTCCCTAAGTCACGGGGTAGGGGGAGCAGCTTCTCTTCTCCCAACCCCACGATGTTTGCTGCGCAGTTTGGCTTTAGTTACAGAACCCCGGGGAAGGACCCGTTAAAGCAAGACCTTTAAGTAAATGTAGAATCCATCGGCCATTTCCAGCCCCCTCCCTCGTGTGCAGTGCAGTTACCCTTCCGCTCTATCTACACCCCTCTCGCCTGTACCCCCGCCCCGGCGTACCCCCAGGCCACTGTGTTACTCCTCCATCTCCCAGTGGGATTTGAACGCCCCTTCCTTAGAACTGGCCCCTCGGGAGAGAGAGAGTGTGTGCATATCTGTGTGTGTATGTGTGTGTGTGTGTGTGTGTGTGTGTGTTGTGTCCAAGGCCTAGTGAAATGTGTCATTTGGACTCAACTGTGCAGCTCTGTCTGGTAACCACCATTGTCTAAGGGCTGAGGCTCCGGAGGGTTGGATTCTTGCTTTAGCAAAAATAATGTTCAGTTCTACTTTGAAGATGTGGTTATTTGGGGAGGTTCAGGAGGTGGGGTGTTGCACCTTGGTCTCCAAATGCAACTATTCTCTTTATTAGCTGCTCTCAGTGGGGGTGGAGGTCAGTACCGTATTTATGTATACGGTTGTTTTAAGGAGGAGGAGAATTGTTAGGAGACATTTTGCGTGTTTTCGTTGGCGGATTAAGGTTAATTTTATGTGCGTTGGTTGTCACACCTCCTTTGATTAAGGGAATTAAGATTAAATGCTTTTTTAAAATTATACATTCTTTCCTTAAAAATTGTTTTATTGTTCTTGATCAAAATACTTAACAAATGAAAGAGGGAGATGATAATCTGAAAAAATAGTTTAAAGGGTTTTCACTAGTCACTGCTACAGATAGTCCTTGTGAAAGCAGTTTTCTATATGTTGCTTGAAAGAATGTGATGTTTCAAGCCAGTTGGAGGTCTTGTGCAACATTATTGGTAATGTGTTTTAATGATTCTTGGATACATTTATAATTTTTTTGTAAATTAAAAATGTTTGTAGTTTCAACATTTCCTTTTACATTTGCATATCAGGGTTCTCCTGTGTTCCATTCAAATAATATTCAAGTCTCCTTCCAGAATTGGTACTATATGTAATAGAGTTGACTGTTTTTTGAGAAAACAGTGACACTGGATTGAAATCATAATACGGATTCTATTGCTAGAAGTAAGCTTTTCCAAGATGTACTGATTTGTTAATTTACGTTAACAGTGGATCAGATCCTTTCA